AGGTCTCCCGTTGACAACATGGTTATGCATGCGGTTCATCGTTTCCAGTACATAGTTTGATTCATATGAAAAAGCCTAAATATTCGAAGGAAAGAAAGATGTCTAACTCAAGTGAAAAACACTGTAAACCTGAGCCGACTATCCACTCGACAGATTATGCATAGACTCGGCTACATTGGACGCGTTGCTAGGCGGAAACCCCTGCAAAGTGAGGTGAATGGGCTGCGTTGAAAGAAATAGGCTCCACAGATGCACAAACCACTTCTGTATTAGAAGTGTGTCCTATTTTCTGACGAGTCTCGATCCCAGCGATTCACATCTGGTGGTAAAACAGGGGTCTAGAGGAAATCTTGAGACTCGCTTATACCCGAATGTATATTACCACAGTAAAACAAGGTGGTATAGATGCGATGGTGCGGGCAGGGATTTGGAAACCTTGGTTATCCATGGAGGGACGCCATAATTCAGCTTGTTGCAACACGGCCATTGCACATCGATACCGAACAACTAAAGACAAACCCTCAGCAATCTGTGGCTCAATCTAGAACAGGTTGTCATTGATCATCTCATTAAATTCCATGCCTGCCCTATATGATGTACATGGTCTTCAGATACTGATTGTCAAATTTGCTATTCCTTGTACACTTTATCCATGCAGTTAGGCATCAACATGCATCAATGAAGGAAAAACTATTTTCCAACGGTAATCTTTTTTATTGTCAGGGATCTGTAAAATTCACATTTAAACGACGATAATTCACCAAAAACAAACTGTGCAAAAGTTCTCGTGCACTGTCTTCTCTTTCTCTTACACTTCTTTTTTTTAATGAAGTTAGTTTTGATAAAACCTTAACCTCGGCTTATTAGTTGAATAATTATGCACATAGAACAGCATGAAAAAGATTTAAAAAATCCAATTTTACATCCGAATCGCCAAAAATCCGTTGATTCGTGAAAAAATTAATTTTCAAAGAGTACGGGAACTTTTGCATAACCCTGTATATAGTTTTCAGTTTTTTACCTTCATGCAAATTTTTTTTGCGGAATATCAGCATGGTCAATATCACATAAATGTGAAGGGTGTACTTTGAAGGAAGCGCTTATCTTTTTCCTTACGAGTTCACTGCAGCTTAGTCTGGGAGACACAACCCATTGAAAATGGGAGAAGGCGACTTGGGCAGGCCGCCAGTCTTGCAGCTCGCCAGTTGCGAAATTTTCCTTCGAAACAACAGAGGCAAACTCCCTGATTGAAGTGGGATCCGCCTACAGAACCTAAATGAACCGCATCGAGTTCCTCTGCAACCTCCCTTCTTCCATCAAGCCACTTCCCTGCTCTTATGAGTTTGACGCGAGGCCATGTCGAGGCGGCTTCCACCAACTCAAATCTCAACTTATGAGATTGTATGAAGCAGGTTGCGGAAGAGGGTGGTTTTGTGTTGCGTGTTTTCACAATACAAAAACTCTCAACTGATGATGCTTTCTAATTTTTTAACTCAAGAACACGTTTATTTCACTCTTTCTGGCTAAAAATATCACACTGGATATAGAAAAAATAAAGTATATAGCTCGCATTTGTGGGGTTCTCACCAAAACGGGCACCTAGAAGGAAAAAAATTAAGTCAACAAATAAATAATACTAATAATTGAAATACATTTATCGTTGAGAATGGTGCAACAACAATGTACACAGAAGGTCGTTCCAGCCTGGAATGGACTAGGCAAATAGGCAATAGACAAAGGCTAGGCACTTTCAGACATTTTGTAATCGTCTCGCTGAAGGCTTGTATCCGTTTGTTTTTTTTTTTTTTTTAAGGGAATGTCTTTTAAATGCACTTGACACTCTAGGTCAGAGGCAATCCAACAATTTTTTTTCCATTTTTAGCATATGTAAGGATACTCTAATCTACCAGCGCACTCCTAGTCTGGGCAGTGGGGAAGTAAACAGGGAAGCGTGGATTAAGTCAGGAGTCAAGTGCAGCTTAAGAGCGTGGGTTAAGTCAAAAAAGAGACCTTGGAATTGGGAACAGCGAAGTCACCACAGTCGAACTGAAAAAAAAACTGACATTTTACCCGGTCAACCCACAAATCTCACAGCACACCAGTTAGGAACCTTTGGTCCAGGTGAACTCAATGCTCTGCGACGAAGCTGGGGGTCTTTTTGCTAAGTTTTACCCTCTATTGGTTTCAATTAGGGGTCCCAATTTCTGGCTCATTTCTTTTCTGGAAACCGGCGTAAATCATCTGGTTACCCAACAGTAACCGAACGAGATTAAGGGAACGAAAACCTTCTGGAATCGATGGTTCCCCCCCACCCCCCCACACCCATCCCATAATAATACAAGGATAGTGAGAAAGAGGACTGATGTCCCAAGGGTTCTCACCATCCAATGAAGCACTGGCAAAGGTTTTCATGGGAAGTGGCTTGGTTGATAAGGAGCCGGACCTGTTCCTCGACAGGCAGGACATGTTCTCCATAAAAATCTCTACCTGTGAGTTTCTCTTTCACCCGATTGATGATCCCCACGGCCTTCTTGTTCAATATCATCTCTCCTTCTGGTGGAGGAGCATCCCCATTGTCCCCATCTCTACCCTTTTCCTTTCCACCTTCTTTCTTTTCCTCATCACTTCCACTTCCAGTCTTGCCTGATCGATTCTCTTTCCTTCCTTGGATGTTCTCAGCGAGTCGCCAATTGAATAAAGGATCATAAACGAAGGCCTCAAGGACAGCCATGACACTGTCTCGATTCTTCCGCAAGACTCTCATAACACTCTCACAAGTCATGCGATATGTCCCCTCGATTCCCGTGACCTAGGAGTAAGAAGACGCGAAGACCATAGAAGCAGGGGAAAAGGAGTACAGTGAGCATTGCGCTTCTCGTGGTACCTCCATTGCATTGATGAGCATGCGTGTGAGACGGAATGGGACCTTCTCCGGAAATTTCTCTCGTGTCGTGGCCACATCAAAGCAGTCACCGAAGTCAATATGGAGCACTTTCCCACTCTTGCGGTCCAGCATCAGGTTGCATGGATGACTATGTGAGGAACAAGCTCTCATAGACATAACCTGAATGAACAAAATGACAAGGGAGGAAGGATGACGACTTGCCGATCTCCAAGTCCTAATATGTACCCAACCATGGACATAACGGCCAAGGAACGGATATAATTAGTACGATGGTCAAACCACACTTCAGAACTCGGGGATTTGAGCCATAGCAACTTTGCAAGGTCATCTCCAGGTGTTTGATCGAGGGCATATTCAAAAACTTCTACTTTCTGCTTCAACATCAGACGATCATAATCTGGTGCCATCTGTCAGAATGAACAATAGAGGGCGAAGCGAAGACCAGTTCTATCCCAAAGTCCTTAGGAATGCAGGCATTTTAACCAGCAAGGTGAATATAATATGAAAAGGACATACTCCGAGTATTTTGCGATGTTCTATGTTGAGAAAGATATTTTTCTTCTCTCGATACTCCCGGATGAGTTCATGAAGTGTGTCACAGTGAGGAACCCACGAGATGAGTCCCGTGTTGGTTGATAATGGAATTACGGCATAACTCTGCGGAAAGCACATGCTTCTTGTTCATTATTAGCACTGAATTATGTAAAAAGCTAATAGGCATTACAGAGGAATTTCCTGAGAAAAAGCGACCTGAATGGTGAGGTTTCTTTTCAGGGTTTCAGGTTCTTGAAGGAGCATGGCATTGACAAGACCAAAGAGTTGCATAATTCGTTCATCCTGCCTTAGATCCTCATTTCCCTTCAGCAAGAAAATGTAATGTCTCCCATTGCTTCCTATAACCAACAAATCCTTCTTATTCATGAAGAACCAAGGGTGACATGCACCGAATCCGTTAAAGCTAAACTAATCTCATCTCACAATGGTACCCTGTGGGAATCAGTATAACAGAGATAAAATAATTACAATGAACTCCCAATATGAAAACGAATCCGTTTAAAGTTAAACGAATCTGGTGCATGTCACCCAAAATCTTACTGTCAAGATGAAGATCAATTACAGCATGTGACCTTGTAGGACGAGTTTTCTCGGCCTCCGTTTGGAAGTGATGACCCGGAGGGAGGGCTGGACCTTGGTAATGCGCACAACAGGCTTGTGAGGGACATAGGTCCCAGGGACAGCTAACTCCAGGTCCTTGCTTTCCAACAACTTTGGAGACACATATTGGAGCTCCAGACTTGTAAGTTGAGGGATCTGCTTGCTGATTTGACGTAAGACGTGATAATGAAGGTCCAAGGCCTGTTTCAAATCTCGGATTTTCCCCGTAAGCTGGTACTTCTTGCACCATTCATGTGCCTCCATCAAGTCACTTCCATAAGCCTACAGCATGAAGTATCTCCTTATTCATAAATGCCTCTACAGAGAAAACTGTCAGAGTTCAGACCTGATAGAAGGAGGTCTCCTTGAGAGTCTGCGGTCCCTTCCTCATCATCGTATGCAGGACTTCTAGGGCAGGGGTCTCAAATTCGCGGACCGGAAATACTCTCAATGCATCCTGCGTACACCAAGAGAGAAACGTTTCATACACAATATCAGGTAATGGTAGATTATTCGTAATACGAATTTACACTTTGGCCCCCAGAGAGGTCCGATCTTGGCGAAGCGATCTGCACACTGGAAGGTGTTGGAGACTCCTGCACTGGGTTAGCAAACTTTCCTTTGATGTTTCCTTCTGTCAAATACAGACGAAATGCTTTTTCCAACCCTTCATACCATAGCTCGTGCCATAAGATTGCTACACGGATCAACTCCTCGCTGACCTATTCAAAAGGAAAAAAAAAGATTAATCTTCCTCTACCATGCTACTACCATGACACTACCAATTATACATGATAATTGTGCCACTAACTCGTGCAGCTCACCATGAGAGCCTGCTGCACCAAATCATGGGAATGCTCATTCATGTTTGAGAGGATCTTGTTGGCAGCTACCTGTCTGGCAAACACAGAGGATTTGGAAGCCACAGTCAATGGATAGACCAATGCTTGTGGATGAGCTCGACCAATATCCATGAGAAGCTGCTGAATAAGTTGAGCAACAAGTGGTTTGGGGATATCAATTCGAGCAATGAGCTGTGGAATCACTTGAAGCCAAGTATCCACATTGGTGGCTCGAACCCCAGCAACGAGTGCTTCAAGAACTTCATAATGATACCCATAATCAAAGCACAAAGTCAACAGTCTCAAGGTATCTTGGAGAGAGGATCCATGGGCTAAGGAAATAGAATGGAAAAAGCCACAGACAGCAGCAACGCAGTAAGGCTTCCACTGAATAGGATCCTCCTCTACATGATGGAGCACAGCCTCAAAGTTCATGCATGCCCAGGCATGCCATGCTTTATACCAATTGGGGTCATGTTGAGTAGCAGCTGTATAACAATGCAGGACAGCTGGGATGGACGAAGCAGTGACCCCCTCCAATTCTTCTTGCCACATCCCTAACCGAAGATAACATTTGGCGAGGAGGCTGTTCAGTTCACTATGTATCTCCAAGTCCTCTGAATTCATGTTCCTCACTTGTGGGTGCAGAATGCTGTCCACAAACTCGTGAAGTTTCCTACAAAAGGAAAGATTCACTGACACGTTCTGTTTAAAGTATTCACAGCTACAGAGATAATGGGTAAATCTCGCACTTGAAAGCCACATCCTTCTGATTCCCCATCCAGAGATGTTTGGCATAAGCATATGCGACTTGAGGTGAAGGGCCAAAGGGGAGAGGTTCACAGGGATCCTCAGAAGGATTTTGGCCAAGAAGCATTATGAGAGTTTTATGCGATGGGTCCTGCTGCCCAGCCTTACGGCACAGAGATGCATACTTTAGCCATGCTTCCTGCTCCTCATGGGGGCTCAGGACTAGACTATGGACTTGGAGGATCTTTTCCCAATCTTCTACCATTCTTTGGCACCCCTAAAAGAAGTTGGAAATATTATCATGTTTGAAAAATAAACAGAAAGAATGGGATAGAGTCGTCCGACACCAGACCTGAAGTCGTTCCCACCAAATGCGCTTGATGAAGGGTTTTCTCTTTGGAACAAGTTTATATGTGATCACCTCCTCAAGTTCAGCCAACATCTGGACAAGAACCATGACTGAGTAGGCTCTCTGGTAGCTCTCCCCAGCCATGGATGTAAGTTTCGTGTCCAAAGATTCTCGAGCAGCATCGATCCATTTTTGAGCATCCAAGAAATCTCCCTTGTTAATGGAGAGGACAGCCCTGTAGAAGGATCCCTTAGGCGTGTCCTCGGGAATGAGACCAGCATATTTCTCCATGTGCTCCCATTGTTTGAGTCCCCAAGATGCAGCAGCAGCCATGCTAGCTATACTTTCCTCCATGTCACCATGCCATGTCCCTGCTAGCTCACCCAGTTTCCCCCTTAACAATAAACATTTCCTAGGCTCAAAATCCTCCAAAATCCAAACACAAATGTAAAAAAACTCAAACATACCAGTCCCGAAGGCCTTGAAGGCACCTCATCTGTCCAACCTTTGCATTTTCATTCTGGGAATCAATAAGCAAATTCTTCTCATAAGCAGCCAAAGCTGCCTTCCAGTCATGCAACCTCTCAAACCAATCCTCTTTGACTTCTAGGTCATCCCTCCGATTTTTCATGGCATAATCCAGCAATCCTGAAGGAGATCGCAAAAATTAGCAATGGAGCCTTTCACAATGCATAAGACTGCACTACATACTACATCAACCTCACCAGTAGCAGCTTCTTTTTGCTGGAGCATCTGATTGATGGAAATGAGTTCCCCAATAACTTCAGTTGTTGGAACCTTGCGGAACTCATCTTCCTTGTAATGCAGGGCCTTAGCATAAGCCCGACATTCCATGGCTCGTTCACCAAGCACATGTGGATCCAGTGGTAATGGACCCTGCAATATATGTTTCCTGACATTAAACACAAACTTATAGGTAGAATATGAACTAGACTTCATGAGGTAGCACCACAACCTACTTCATCACAATGTTCCATGAACTCAGCCAGATTCAAGATGGTCTGAGTCACCTCAGGGATGTCCTGGACTAAGAGGGCCTCCTCAAGTGCCCGAATCAGAGCTTTCTGATGTGCTTCTCCCAATTCTGTCCAGCATGACACAAATGCTGCATTGAAGAGATCCCTCAGGAGATGACTATATGTCTGAGCCAGATTGGAACATGATCTGATAGCAGGAGATGATGATTCCTTAAGTAGCTTGATGCTCAGCTGCCGCAGCCATTCAAGCCAATCATCTTTTGAGACTCGATGGGTCCCTTCCCAAGCCTTCTGCAGGTTTTGACTGCTTACATTCAGCTGAATACAAGAGGTTATACATATATATAAGATATATAAACCTCGTATATAAAAGGTGTATCTGATTGAAATTGAAATTTGATGCAGATAATATCAGAAAAGCATGGATCGAAGGGATACCTTATTCTTCATGGTCATGCCTGCATCTGGGTTCTTTGTGCGATGATTAGGGCGAGACAAAACTGGCTTATCACCTTCATAACAGCTGACGCCTCCCTGGATTGATGGAATGATGTGCACATGTATTCAAATATGTGAAAAAGCCTCAGTATCAATAAACAAACATAAGCCTCAAGTTAATAGATGCCTTGGAAAGGGATGAGTGTAGGGAAGAGTGGTACACAATAAGAAAAGAAACCAACAAAAAAAATCAGCCATGCAAAGACTCATAAGTCTGGCTGAAATCTTACACCGCATGGAATAATATTTCATGAGTGATATTCTAATGTTCAATGTCATATTGCCCAAAGGAGTTACGGTGTTGAAAAAATGAAAAAAAGATCTCAGAGTACCACCCATAATGAGACGACTTTAATTAGTTAAGACAACTTTTTATTTTAGCATTATCCAGCCAGATGCTAACTGCCTGTGGAAATGCTAGTTCTGTCATTTTTTCGTATCACAGAGAGTAGACAGTAAAATATAATCTATAGAATTTAAAGATGTATTTATTGCTTTAAAAAAAAGGCTACTGTCATGCAAACGTCAATAAGAAAATTCGACTTCGACTTAAAAGCCTCGACAAATCGAAAAAAGACTCATCAGACAGCAATCAGAACACACTCATGGCTACAAGTCGCTCCATAATTCTGAATTTTGTGAATGATCTGCCTACTGACATCATTGTATATGTTATGTTTAGATTTGTCTTATTGTACCATTCTCCCCAACAGTAAAGTGCAGACACCAGTTTACAGAGCGGCACCTATTCGGATACAATTTCATGTTGCATTTCCCAATATTGTCAAACAGGCATGTACAATATATAAAAGAAAATGTCAAGGATATGAATTTCTGGCTTAGGTTTTTTAGGATGGCAGAGGCATGAAATCATTCACAAAAAGGTGCTCACTACAAATTGGCACATCTACCCTATATTCCACCCGGAGAATCAGCTGGTGTCACATTTCCCAGCTCATACATTTTACAACCAGTACAATGGAGCAGAGACCAAGCATTCAGGAGCGATCCCCTCCAGAGAAAGATAGAGAATGAGGCAAATGTACAGCGGTTTTTGAAGCTGTGTATGACAACTAGTGGAAAAGAAGACTCATGAGAATATGGAAATTCTGAATTATAATTAAAACGGAATTTCTCAGCTGAAGTGCTAAAATACCAAAGATCAGGACTCAAGGTAGAAAGCTGAGAAGAAATGTGGAAAACAAATGGCCCTAGGGAACAATGCATGTAGTGAGTGGTAGAATAGTAGATCTTTAGCTGACAGGCACTCTAGTTTGTAAGTGCAGTCATAGTATTGGACATCTAAGAGGGGGATAACTTATCAAAAGAAATAACATTTCCTTTTCATTCAGCAACTACTCCCTTCTAGTGCGACTTCCTTATTTTTAAAAGTCATCCATCAAGGTAGTCCTGATGCTTTGCCAGTTTGCCGTTATGTTTTGTCACTTTACTCCTATAAAGGGGCAACGTGACGAAGTTCATTTTTATCAGGAAATTTTTATATGCCGATATGAAACTTTCATTTTTATATATTTCCGAAAGTATGCAGTTCAAGTGAAGCAAATGACTCAACTCAAACGACTTCAACTCAGAAAAATGTATTTCTTATAGCTCGCGACCTCACTGTAATGCGACTGCCGGTCTTGCAGTCATGGTCGCCTTGCATTTTGATAAATACTGCAGTTCAAACCAGAGAGTGAACAATAGAGGTATAACATACCATTAGATTATGTCCCCAGAGGCACAAAAACTTCCCAAGAAAATCATAATGTCTATTTAGTAAAACCATCGATTCATATTACTAGTGTATCAAACTCAACAATCCCCTCTGTGTGATATGTTGAGACCCTAAAGCAACTCAAAGGAAGCTCTGCAGTAGAACTGGTCTGGTCTGGTAATGAATAAGGTTATCCTGAGTAGGACTATTCAAGGCCATATGCTACACTGGCAACCATGGAAGTCATCCAGAAGCTTCGGTGGATCGTCCTCCCTCTCACTTGATCTGACACTTCTCGATGTCCTTTTTTCAAAATCCTTAAATGGGTGCGCTACAAGGGACAAGTTTTCAGATCATAAAAGAGTCTACAGAAAAAACAGCAAGATAAACTGGACCTGCAATGATAGTTTTACCTGACTGGGATGCATGTCCTCATTACACACTGGTTGGAGTGCATTTTTGCCCAATACATCACATCACATTTAAAAGTGAGACATGAATACATAACATTTTGGAAACAGCAAGTAACCACTTACAAATTTTCATTTATCAGAGATGAAGTATTGTACAATGAGTCGTTATTTTCCAGTTATCTTCAGGACAAACCCTCTCAAAAACCCCATGGATTGCCAGGAAGACAGTGAAGGAGTTTAACAGGTATATATTTAACACTTGGGGGAATATGACTATTGGGGTAATATGACCCTTCACAATGTATCCCCTAAAAGAATGAAGATTTAGTTTGGGCGAATTTTAAAAATAGTTCTATGAAAGAGTATATGCAACTGTCGATAAGTTATGACCTGTTAATTAATCCAATGCTAGCAGGAATTTGGGATATATCGATGCTTTGAAAGTCATATATATGCGGTCGTTCAACTTATTACCGTGAAGCTAATATGAGCCTTGTGCAACTTAAGTTTATAATTTCTAACAGCAGCATGGATGCAATTCAAACCATTTGTTCAAAGTTATTCTATGGTCTCTCCAGAATGATTGTGCTAGCCCCCTTCACTTGCGGGTTGCATGCAGTGTTGTCGATTTCGTCATGCTAGCCAATATGGGAGAATATGGCCATCTCGATTTGGGGTAATATGGATACATCCTTGACTTCATGGAACCACTGCATTGACCTATCTGCAGTGTTAGATTCCTTTTACGAGTATGTGGGACCTCAGGCAGCAATAGATCATCCTAATATGTACACCCTCTGGATATACGCAGAGGACTCTTGGAGATCCACTCCACTAGGCATCCGCATGAAATATGCAGCTTATATCCTCATGCAACGCCTCCTGGACATCTACTGGGTGTACTCCAGAAATTTTTGCGGCACGAAATTTGATGCAGATAAATATTCCTCATAAGTAGAAATGAAATATCATCCTGTGATTTGTTAATGCTGATACCACTAATAATGTATTGCGTGAATTGCGATTGTATTGCGTGAATGCATGAATAATGCATGCACGCAAAAAATTATTGCGCAACATTTCCCGCACTCTTAGTTCACACTCGTAGCGCATGTTCACTTCCATCTCTAGGTGATCACTTCTCTTATACCCACAGTGTCTAGATACAGTCTCCCAATCACGTGAAATGCTACTCAAAGCGAAAAGCGTTGTAATCCTGCTTTTCATAGCAGCTCCTGGAGCTATTTAATGGTCGACTTCTCCTCTTGTCCTAAATGAAATTAATGTATCTTATATATTTGTTTCCCAACAGCTTGGCCTCGTTTGTTGTTTTTCAAGGTGCTCAGCATGTTCAAGTATATTTCACTCGTACCTTAAAAACCTTGGGTTGTTTTTTGAGAAGGGCCCATATCACCCCTAATGCCTGGCCATATTACCCAAGCAATAGGGGTAATATGGTCTGTTTGGACTAACTTGGAAAGAATCCAAAGACGCAATATCCATGTATTTCTTGGCATGTGCCTTGCTGAGATTAAGTAAACCAGATATCAATCTGTATTTTCCAAACATCGGCGAAGTCAAACTCAACATTGATGGGCCGTTAAGATCAGGTGTCACTTTTTAGGGTCATATTCCCCCAAATTACCCTACAGGTTAAAGCATAATGCCCCTCTAAGAGAGGTATCTAACTAGAGTCAGGCCCCCTGAAATCTGGGGAAAGGTACAAGCCATGCTAGAATGTGGAAACCTAATTACTTTGAGCACCCAGGAGAGGAGAACCTCATAGCGATGATGATGAATTTCGTGCCTAGCCAGGGCTTTCTGAGTCATGGGAATGAAAACCTCATATTTCTTCCCCAGTTGGAGAACAATGGCAGCCAATGTATCCAGAGTTGCATTACGCAACTCAGCGCAAGTGTCCATGGTACGAACCAAAGGATGAATCAACCTGGAATAGTGTTATCCCTTCTTATCATATGCATGCTCACGAGATTCTGATACGGATGGTGTAACAAAATGACTGACATGACAGCGTAATCAGAGAAGTCCAGATGATCACTAAGCTGATCCACTGTTTCCAGGGCACAGCGTCGGACGGGGATGGGGACATCAGGTGCATCAAATAGTCGGATGATTTGAGGTAAAATCATGTGGATGTACTCACTAAGGCTGCTCCCAAATTTCTTCAGTGCATTCAACACCTGAACAGTTAAAAAACCTTCATGAGGCAATTCATTCCTTCAACGGTCTTTCCATATGACAAGGATACCTAACCTTGAGGGTGATCTTCCTGCCAGGGCTGACATCATGAAGGATGATATGAAGGATTTGGGGGATGAGCTGAGGTAGAAAGACCTTCATTTCACAACCAAGAGCAGCTGCCATGTGTTCCACTAAGAAGATTAGTGTTGTCTGCAGGGGACTGTTCACTGTCCAAAATTCCTAACTCAGAGGAAAAAATCCCATTAACATGTGATGGAGGTGGAACGTTTTTATATTATTATTCTGAAATGGAAGAAAGGAACTACTGAGACCTTGATCAGCTGGAAAATGTCCTCAAGGTAATTTTTAATGTGAATCTTGACAATAGTGATGAGAATAGCAAGTTGCTTGAAAAGAAAATCCCGGAATAGAGCATCAGCTGCACGAATTACATTTAGGAGGCAAGGGATGACATGTGGGATGTATTGAACGCATTTCACTCCTAGGCTGTTGAATATTGTGGTCACTGCCTACAATAGATACCATTGCATCACAGGAAAGGAAAAAGAAATCAGATATCACATATTGATTAATGATGAAACTTACTAGGACAACAAGGGTATGATGTTGCGACAATGATGGGTCTCGAAGAATTTTCATCAGAATCACAATGGTGACAGCAGGATAAAATTCTTCCAGCGAAGCTACTGCCACGTTCATACTCACCAGAAGTTCACTGGTTGTCATTCCTAGGAGAAATAAAATCATTCTGTCAGCAATATTACCAAACTTTGGAGAATTAGCCATGAAGAAAGCTGTGGACATCCACCTCACCTTGATCGATGTCAGATTCAGATTCATATGGAATGACATCAGCTGCAAGCTGATCTCTGATGAACCCTCGGGACATCTTCTGCTCATAGGGATCCAAAGCACCAAGCAAACCCAACACACGAATTGTCTCCTTCCTATTCATAGCATAAACATTATCAGTACTACCAGCTGAAATATCCTAGGTGACTAATGCCTGTTTCTTAGTGTGGTAGTCACCTTGCTGTTGGAGCTTGCTCAGTTTTGAGGAGATCCAGAAGGACGTCCAATAATTTTGGATGCGAAAGATAAGGCTGGACAACAAAGCCTGTACTTTCCACAACCTGGCCCAGAGTCCATAAAGCTACTTCTCTTTTCTGAGGAGAACTGGAATCAACAAGTAGATCCAAGAGGAGGGACACCAGTTCTCCAACCCATTTCCTCATTTCCAATCCTGACACCTGGGCCTGCTTCCCAATTGCAAGAAGAACTTTGATCACAACACTTGGATTTGGGTCCGGGTCTTTGAGTTGGGCAACCAACACCTTCATGATGGGATTCAAGTAAGGCTCAATGAGGCAGGAAGATGTTGCCACTAGTTGTCCTAGGAGGTGTGCACTTTGCTCTTTGTTTCTACCAACTCCACTGTACTCAAGCTCTGAGAGGAACTGCAATAGTGTTTTGCGAAGGAATGGCATGATGTATGCTGGGTTCCTCTCTGACAAGCGTCCCACGACACAGATGGCACGCTCTCTCACTTGGAGGTCTTCATCATTGACAGCATAAAGCAGAGCCTGAAGCTTCTCAGCTTGGGCCAGATGACAGTCAAACTCGTCTTCCAGACATTCCAGGACAGAAAGACGAATCTCTGGCTCTGTCAGGAAAGAAAGGCAAAATGCAGAAATATCTTAGGTATAATTAACTCCGTCCGTGCACCTTAGCCCTAAAGTAAAATCATATTTCCCTCTCATCAAGTCCAATAATGAAAGACACAAAGGAGGATGAAATTACTCCACGCCATTTGCATTTCTATATCTTGTGCACAATTTTATGGTTCATGCAACTCCTTACTTTGAAATATTAAAAAACAGTCTGCTTTAGCAATAATCTTCACGAAATAAAACACTCCTGGAGTGCAAGGAGAGGCTACTTGAATTATTGAGACAATGTGACAATACTTTCTGAGAGCGGTGTGAAACCCTGATAATAATAAAGGTATTGCCAAGTATGCAGATTGACAGGAACATCATAGCTGTGACTGCAGTCTTGGTCCAAGTAATCCACAGTCCAACATTTCAGCTAGTATTGGACTATAAATAAACTTTTCTTCTTTTCCGAAGAAAGTTTTGAGGAGGGAGTAAAGTGAAAGTTTTGAACCTGGTATGGATGCTGCAGTAGATCCATTTTTGGGATATTACAGATGCTGTAACCAGCAATGAGAGGGACAGGAAGGATATTTGCACACTTTGTTGCCACTGGAGACAAAAACGTCTTGAAACTCCGTAGATAGTCTAAGAATAGTCATAGTCTAAGAATCATGAACTCTAAATGAAAATGTAAGACCTAATACTATCCCGAAGGAATCTCTTAAGAGCACCTGTTCCCTTCAAGACAGGAATAGTTCCCTTCTTGAGTTCAAATAATTACTAAAACATAGTAAGAGCCATTTTAAAACACCGCTAGTTCTTCATCAGCAATAACTTATTAATGTCATGCATTTTAAGAAAACGCATGGAATTAGGCTTAAATTGAGAAGCCAAACAGTCAAGCTACAGATCTAAAGATAGATTGTTATTCAAGATTACAGAAATTGTGCATGAGGAAGAGAATCACCTCANTAGGTCTAAAATGCAGCTCCTCATATAAAAATGACTGATCGTGGAGTAGGCGCTTCCACTTTTTCCTCCCTTAGCTAATCTATGCCAACTAGAACGCTGTGTGACTACTGAAAAAAGCAAACTGTCATGAAAAGGTGGTAATGGTTTAAATACACAAGGTTTGAGGGATGAGTATGTGTGTGCATAATTTTAAAATTATTCGTAACGGCAGTAACGACTACAGTGACAAAATTTCTACCTGAGCATCAGCTCATTGGAAGAATAAAGACGAAAAACCTGATTTCTAAGAATGGAATGTGATATTGAGGATTTCCTGTTAATGAAGTTTAATGAAAGTAAGTGTAAGGTTCTTCACGTTGGCCATGATAACTAGAGGTTTCTGAATGAGTTTGGCAGAGATAAACTGGAGGGGTCAAAGAGAGAGAGAGAGAGGGATCACCAAAAATGAGAAACTCAAGTTCTCCGCACGCGCAGACGAAGGTAGCTAAATGTAACAGGATTCTAGCTTCATAGGGCATTCCATGGCTAATATCAGCTTGTGCGTCATTCTTCTACTGTATTCAGCGCAAAGACCCCATTTAGAGTCTTGGGTTCAGCTTTTGAAGGCCTGCAAATGAATGTGAATTAACGGTGCTCCGGAGGGTCCAGAGACGGGCTACAAAAATGATCAAGGAAGTAAGAGGACTTCCATATTAGAGTTGTTTGGAAGTGTTGGGACCATACTCGAGAGAAGGTTAACTAGGCGGGACTTCCTCTAGGCATTTAAGATCATTAAGGGAATTATTAACCTAGAGCATGGTAGGTTTTTTTCAGATTGATGCCAGCAACAGAACAGAGAGGATCAACTCAAGTTGCACAAACCCCAGGTGAAGTTCAGTAAACGGCATGACTTTCTCCTTTAAAGTTAGTTAACACGTGGAATGCGTTGAGTGATAGTGTAGTGTCTGCCCCCTTTTTGTGGCTAGCATTAATATGAGTTTAGATGCCTTCATGAATAAAGCAAAGCAAAGCAAAGCAATGCAGATGTAAGTGATGAAGCATTAGGTGGCTCATACAAAAATATCTATCTTAAAGAGGGATCTAGTATCTCATGATAGAAGAACACTCAAAAATTGACACGGGATGTTTCAATGCGCGGAAATGTCACTTGTTGTCCCCACACAAACCTTGAACTTTGAGTATCACATGTGAGAGCAAGAGACCCAAACATATTCCTACTTTCTACTCCATAAAAAATCTCCCCCCTCTGACATTCAAGGAATTCTATAGCAGATACAGTCACTTGTGGATGCAAAAAAGAGTGAGCCATCAGGGTAGGAGTTTTTTCTCCTGGATGCACAGACTCTGACCAAAATGAGATGAACAGGTTCTTGTTACTCTAATGTACCATGAGAAAACCTAAAAAAATCGAAAATACATTTACTCTACTGGGCATTCCAAAAGTCACTATCATTGCCTATCTCGCGATACGATGGCCACAGTGCTGTGAAAATGTACATGTAGATCATTTTGACCATGGGAAATGTAATCCACTGACTCCACATGGCCTGACCTCATCCAAACAGACTTCAGGCTTTTAGGTTATATCGCCTTCCCAGTTCAAGACCGTCACAACTACGAAAACCTACTTTTGAGATATTGCATTTGTGTTTTGTTCAACATTAAAAGAATACTTGTCTTACAGGAAAAGGCTCACTGCCAATGTATAGGTCATGTATAGGTATAGTTTCATATGTTAACTACACAAGTGTTCAGGTATTAACTCTTAATGGCATTACGTCATACTTTTCTCTTCTTGATAATAATTATTCCTTCCTTTCTCCTGTCTTGCAATAAAAATAATTTAAAACCTATTAAACATTTTTTTACATGCATACACACATACATACATGTATGTATGTAAAAAAAAATTATATTTGAAAATGCATGAAGACAAAAAAGAAAATAATTTCCCTGCTCTCATTTCAATCTCCTAGAGCGGCCACTTGCTTATCTCATATCACCCCTCTTCTCGATCAGTTCTAGAAATAGTCTCTATACTAACCCCCTGTCAGCGGGGAGCCTGATAAGGCCCTTTCGGACAGTTGCCACCTGCAAATGCAGCTCTCTGCTCTCTTGGGGCTCCTGTCCTAACTCACTTCTGAACGGATGCAAAGACTTTATAGTAATTTACAATGCACCTGTAAACATGAATTCAAAAAAAGACTAGGAATTAATATTTCAATACCTTCTGCTCTATTGCGGGCCTAAAATGTTATAAAGCCCTACTGCACTAACACCTCAACAGATAGGTTGCATCTTTATTTCAGGCCACTGACCGGAATGTCTTACTTAACAGTAAAAGTCAATTCAGAAACGGGAGAAATCCAGGTGTGGAGGCGGGTCCGAAAGGGGAAACTCCCGGGTTCGCCAAAACACCATAGTCATGGGTGCCCTTCCCATGACTAAGATTAGCTTCACAGGGGTCTTGCACTCTGCCAGCCCCTGTGTTGGGAGGATCTCACCAAGGTGGGCGGGAGCCATGTGACGGTCCACCACATGGTAGCGGGGCCACCATACCTTTAAAGCTCATATTCTTAAAGAAAAAGAAGTGGCAACTGCATCACTATATAAATTTCTGGTTGGTTGTGTAATTATTGCAGTCGTTAACTGTCATCTTGTAATGAAACGCTTTGAAACTGACTTGTGATGGTCTTGAATTGGGAAAGCGATACGACTAATGGGAACCGCATTGAACGTCTATGATCACTTTCTTTTGACATGAACATGAGCGCATTGCTTATTGTCTTATTGCCCTATTGTCATATTGATTCACACTCCGAGTTTGGTACCTCTACATCCAACAATATGCTCTCCCCATTTGCATAAGCAGTCGAAGCTAATTTCGAAATGCCAGATATTTTTGCGCATGGTTGTACAGCACATAAGACAACTTACCAGGGTCAGTGATGGCAACATTGAGGAGAGACGAGAGAACATTGGAGACAGTGAGAAGAAGGGTTGGGCTTTCAATGTCATGATTCTTGGCTGAAGATGCCATTGCTGACACTAAAAGATGAGAGCATGTCCAAACTGCCTCTTTTCTCACCTCTTTTTCATCACTTCGCAGGTATTCCTCAACACAATTTTTCAAAAATGGAAGCAGAGAATGGCCTGTGAAGAGAGCAGCAATCAGCACTTCAATGAAGTCCACGGTAGGTATCTGAACCCTGAATCCAAGATGATCATTCCTAAACCTCACCCTCAAAGTCAAAATTGCCAAGTGTGTGCAGAGCAAGGACAATGCTCTCAGGATCCCCTGGTAGAAAATCGGCATTACTATGACTGTGACTTGTTTTCTTCCCCGTTTTGCCAAGCAGGATTTGTGACAGCACTCGAAGAAGGCTTTCAGCTATCTCCTGCTTCAGCTGTGGAATCTGATCCAGACAGGAGCTTTACTTCCCCGTGGTTCATCACATCGGTTCCTGGGTTTGCAGAATGGGTCATACTGTAGCCTACCTGCATGGCGAGCTCACTGAGAGCAACTGAGAGAGGAGGAGAAAGTCCTGTTGAGAGCATGGGAATGAGAAGCTCCTTAATCTCTTGTTCCAGGTGTGATCCAACAGCACGCGCCAGTAGAGACAAACAAATGAACATGCTGCGGTCAATCGTGGTCTTCTTCTTGTCCTATCATATAAATATAAATAAGTAAATATTAATGAATAAATATGAATAAATCAACATTAATTAATAAATAATAAGTAAATAACTAAATTTATTTATTCATATTTCGATAGATAAAAAATATATCTGACTAGATGCATTTAAAAATAGTAGGGCTGTACCGATGGCCACTTTTGGCCGGTGGGCCGATGACCGATTTTCATCTCACAACTATCGGTCGGTGCTGGTGCCGGTGCGGGTGCCGATTGTCGTCTGAAAATTGAGAAGTAACATGTAATTGCATATTGATTCAAATAGGCCTATTTGGAAGCCATGTGATACTTGTCAGGGAATCCCCTAAAAACGATAGAGACCATATTTAGTACTGTCTGTCTGTGTCTGCCAGTGATTAGTTTGTTACCTATTGCTGCTGTTTAAGAGCGTTTAACGACACATCTCTCGCAAAAGCATAGCATAAAAGGAGGCGCAATGATTTCCCGTTCTTTACCGCTATTTTCCTCTGCCAGTTCTTGGAATATGGCTGAACTACAGGGTGTCCTTAAAGTGACTACCTATGGCCAACTTTTTTCATACTGAATCTGGGGGAACCATCTTTTTTATTTATGCAGGCAGTTTATCATTAGACCTCGGAATGTTGTCACATTGTTGGTTTCTACTATCTAATGTGACTGAGAATTCATTCCCCAAATCCTTATTTCAATTACAGGTTCAGGCATATGTAGTGTAGCATTCCAAATTGTCATGCAGAACAAATTGCCTCCACGATCTCCGGATTTTGATCCTTCGTGATCTTTTTCTCGCTGGGGCTATTTTAAAAAGCGTTGTTTACAGGGACAATGTCATAGATCTGAACAACTTGAAAAAGAATACCCCTCGTGCCATGTGCCAGAAAGTGACGGAATCCTCATGGATGTTGCCAACAACGCAATTGCCAAAGCTCAGAAAAGTCTTCAAATTTGCGGTCGACACATTGAGCCAATTCGTCGAGTAGATTCCTTATGTTTATGATTTTGAATTCCTAAAGCGCTCTGTTACTCAATCAATACTGTGATAACTACAAGAAGCTGTTGCAATATTGTCGAACGGCAAAATTTCCCTCGAATTATTGTCTAAATTTATTTTCCATTCAAGCGAATAAAAAAAAACATAAAATACCAGATGTGGGAAATTATTTTCCAGCCAAGCCAAAGTGAAAGGAGGAAAGATCTGACACTTTCCGAGGTCGGTACGTTGTCAGTCTACAAGAGTAAAAAAAAAAGTTACTTTATGGTCTATAAAAAGAAAGTCGCCCATGGGTAGTCACTTTATGGACACTCCGTATAATCCGATCAATATTTTTCGTGTTCACACGTTCACTCTAATTTTTTTTCGTTAATTTTTCCTGCAAATTTTACCTCTCCTTGAAGCATTGACATCGGCAGTCTGCAAACCGGCCGATGGCGCCGATAGTGCAACACCGGCAGCCGATACCGATGATAGTCGATACATTGGTACAGCCATAAAAAAATTGGATCTTAAATCACACTCACTCTGGAAAGAATGTTGAAGCGAAGGACATCCATAATCTTGGGCAAATATGGCAGGATGCTATCCTTGCTGGCAACGGCTAGAAGCCCGATAGAAAGAAAAGCATTGCTTTTTTCTCTTTCCTTTCTCGCACAATGGAGCACATGTGACATACTCTCCTGGAGGTATCTGTGTGACAAGAACAGCAACCAAGTTCTCATCTGATCTGTCAAGGCCAGCATACCTCATACACAAAGTAGGAAAATGAACATACTGGGAGAGGAACCCCTGGGGATTAAAAGCAGCCAGTCGAGGAAGTAGGGCAAGAACGATGAGCTGAACATGGACGCTCCGACTCCCCTTCTGCTTCAAAATTTGAGCAGTAATGGGATGGAAGTTTTTTGATATAAGGCTCCGACATTCAGAGCTCTCATGGAGAGGTGGCTGATGCACTTTCAGCGACAAGTCCATCCCAGACGTACTTAATGGGGCAGTTGGAGAGAAGAGGGAATTTGGAGGACCTCGCATCACTGATAGAGAGGAAGGCAAGCGAAGCCTCCCACCTCCACTCAATGAATCCTGACAAATTAAAATCCCTTTTCATGGAGGTCCAGTAAACATTTTCCTGTCACTAAAACATGCTGCACTCACCTTCTTAGCGCGACTCTTGCGCATGGTCGTTCTGCTCAGGAGATTTTCCTGCAATTCTTCGAAGTCCAAGTTGGCACATCGAAGGAGCTCATTGAGTATAAGAATAGCTCCATGGGTCCTATCATCACGATCCTTGCCTTGTGCTTCATCTAGGATTTGGTGAGCTTCTTCCAAGCACCTTTCGTACCTGAAAGAAATGCACATGACATCCAGCAATACACGATATAATCAAGAAAATTCTTTAGAAGATGGATATTGACAAGTGAGATGAATGTATCACACCAACATATCGGGAAAGCGCACTGAAGCAGGTAAGCTTTCCGGATCAATCCCAGGGGAGAACTCACCAAGCAGACTGGAGAGCTTCTTTCCCCTCTCTCTGTGATGTGATTAGCAATGCTGATCGGAGAGCAGCACCAGCTGTCTCTCGAATGAGCGGCTTGGGATCCCGCACTGCATGAAAGATGGAGTCGAAAAATTGATTGATTTTCTGGAAGAAGAACGTGGGCATCACACCACTCAACTCCCGCAAGACCAGGACCTAAAAAAATTGCAAGGTCCTCTCATTTCACAACTTGGATAGAGATTTTGCAGCAGAATAATGAGAGCACATACAGCAGCCAAGCGCTTCCCCTCATGACTCTCGGCAGACAACCACTCAAATGCTCTCTCCATCTCATAGATTCCAAATTCATAGGTTCCACTGACTAGGGCAAAGCGGGCAACAGCCTTGGCAGCCAATTCCATTACTCCTGGATCATTGGAGGGTAAGAGATTTCGAAAGATGCGGGCACAGCGTGACATGAGGCGAGAGGTGATCACCACATCCGTACTGGTCAGGTTCACTGGCATAACAAAATGAAGATCCTATGCGAGCAAAATGTTCAATGATGTAGGAATCGAAGGAGAAGAAAAACAAATTAGGGCTCACTGATGGCCAGGATGGCTCCCTTGACCTCATTCGGATCGGGGCTGTTGACCATCTCAGACAAAACTTGAAAGACATTCTCAAGAAAGGCATTGAAGTCTTCTCGAGGAACTTCTCGCAAGTCAGTCGTCACCTGAAGGTGATACCAGCATTCCATTACTTCCCTTAGATGTATAGCACAATGGAGAGGCTTTAAACAAGCAATATAGGTGCCCTTGATGGCAAGTACAAAATACTTCATTCATATTTGTTTTCCTTGGGAAGTTCTATAAATACATGGAGCATATTTTTAAATACAAGAACCTTCACCATTTGATTAATTTCTCTGCATTGCCAAAGAACTTGAGCGGTTCATTTGAGGTAGAAAATATCAGCACTTCACTCACGTAAGTGTAGAGATGCTGAGCGGCCTTGAGACGGGTTTCCTCATGGCAAGACTTGAGCCCAGCCATGATTTGCTGATGGATGACCTGCCCACTCATGTTTTCTTTGAAACCAGTATCTTCAGGATTTACTAGATTCTCTCATCTACTTTCACAGCAACAACAGCTTTCATTAATTTTCAACCACCACGGTTTGGGCCTACGAGTACAAACCACAAATGGTGGCAACTGTCTGTTTAGCATCGTTGAGAATGAAAAGGCATTGGGGATTCATGACCCAGCCAGGTGCCAAGGAACGCCCTGGGCCTCATTTATTGGCGTTAGGATTCCACTGTGACTGGAGGAAATCGGACAATCGAAATGAATCGAACACCTACGATTTCATAGCATATAGCATATACCATTTCAGATAAGATTTCAACCATGCATGTACTCTCGTTTATTCCTACTAGAGGGGACTGATGACATAGTCCGGCTTGACCGAATTATTGGAAATCTGCTCGAGTGACATTTCATTTATTTTATTTTTTACCGGAGGAGAAAACTGCCCCACTAACCTAGAAAAAAAAAATCCTTAAATTGTTCCAATGGGAATGAGTAAACATTGAATCATTTCTTTCGATCATTCCCAAGGAAGAAATCTCAAGTTTCTTTGACTTTGACTCGTGCATCTTCAAAGCGTGCGCTTCGCATTAGCTCCGCGATGAAAGCCGATGAACCAGCCAGGACAGCATCCGGTTCAAGTTTACCGCGCACTTCTTAACGTCCAACACAGTCGATGTTGGAGCATTCAAATCACATGCTACCTCTACTCACCTTTCACCCGAGTCAAAGCGCTTGAAAACCTCCAAGAACTCCCGTGATCACCCAGAGAACGCTTACGAACTCGCGACGGGAGGTGAGAAACTTCTCGTGGCTCCAATTTCAATGAGACTGACGGGTAGAGCGGAAGTCTCAGCGAAGAGAGCATTCCTCTTAATCCGATTCCGGGAAAGTGGGGAGATCGAAGGAGATGAGTTTCCTTTTTCTTCTCTTTTTCGGAAACTAAGGAATAGAGACGTTCGGATTAAACGGATAATTTTATTATAGGTTGTATGGAACTTCTGCCGGGAACAAGAGAGGGAAAGCCTTTGAACAATGGTTCACTACTTCATAGAATCACTGGTTTTCCCAAGGCTTCTACGAAGCCATCTCTATCCCCACTGGCTTGTGTTATTTTATGCAATGACCGATCCTAATAGCCCAGACGTTGGACCAATATCAACCAAAACCAACAACGATCCAATATGCAGAGCTAACAGGAACATGGCGTATCAGTTCATAAAAGAAAACTTTTCAACGCGTCTCTCCGGCCTGAGTGAGATCCGCCTTTCTGATCACTTGGTTCTCACGAGGGAAGGAAGGCACCCATGAAGCTCAGTTTCGGCCGATTATTTCAGTTCCAATTCTCTCTTCGGTCAAGAGCATATCTCCCCAAACTCAGACCACAAGAGGAAAAGTTGCTTTTGGGGTTAAAGCGCTATTTTTGGTCCTAGTCGAGCTAGAAAAGCACTTTTAGACTTTAATTAAAGCTGAGATAATGTAGAATCGCATTACTAAATTCTACTACGTTCATTACGAATTGAGTTACACAATTTCCAAAATCGTAAATATTGGCAAATATTGCTCGCAAATTTTGAGCAAAAGGATGCATGGTAACACAACAAACTTTTTGGAATATTACAGACGCCTCACCTCGATTTGGTCAATTTTACTTGGGCTGCAATTATGCCAGTTATTAAAATTCCAAATCATCGAAATTCACCATCGATGGTGCGTCCATGCATCGGCATGAAATCACTAACGACGAACAGTGTGTAATCGAGAGAACGGAAAGGTGGCTCGGAGGCCCGTCAGGCCCGAGATAGAGCCCTCGTCGGATCGAATCTGCGCCCCAGCACCGATAACGAAAATCTCGCTCGCCTGAATTCCGGACTGTTCTTCACGCGCGCACACCTGGTCAATTGCATTCGCAGGTACTCCTCCCCGCAACGCAAGATACAATCCAGAGACTTTGAGATGGTTCTGTTGATCACGATGAATTTCCCCTTTTCACAGACTGAGCACGTATAAGAAAAGAAACGAAACTCCACGGCCTTCAGAGTTACAAAGCACATTTTTCCACGACACGAACGCACTTGCAATCCACCGCCCCTTCCTCCCAGCCATTTCACTCACGACCTGAAAGTGCAAGAAAAAAACCGGAGCAGCGAGAACGTAAACCCCACATCCCACGGTCAAGTACAGCCATCCCATAGAGATGCTCACGCCTCGTCGGCCTTTCCCGCGGATGTGCCGTCATTTCCATTCCCAGAATCAAAACGATGTCTCTTTCCCTCCCCTCCCCCCACCTTTCTCTCGCGATGATGTCACCCTGTTGATATATTTTACATATGTTATGTATTTTTTTCTAGGGCTGTCGATCCATAAAAAAGATTATCGATTAATTGATCGATTAATCGAATTGTAATCGATTCCTTAGTTTCTCCTTGAATCATGTTCTACGCGTTGGGCATGATTCTGCTAATGTCATGTCCAACACCTAGGCGAGCCTCGGGAAGTGGCTCAAGGCGATGCAATCGCTAACATAGCAGTATCATAATCAGTAACATAGTATCATAGTATATCAGTAACATAGCATAACATAACATAGCATATACATACACACACAATTTCAACCTATTATAATCGGAGACACATTATAATCAGAGAGAAAATAATTACAACGTAGCCAGATGACTAATGAAACGAAAGCAAAGAAGCGCACTGAGGCCCGTTGCCAGTCAGCCAATCCATGCCGGAGGATGCAAAAACGTAACCTAATTGACCGGAGGCATATCGTAACACCTGATTACGTGGAGATGTAAAGTTTCACCATCGACTCACAGGATGGAAGATCGGAGAAAGCAAGGAATAGGAGAGAGTTTCACACTTTCGTTTCCCCAGGCTTCTCTCGCTGCTCCCAGCTTTCCCCCTCTCCCGGTCACTTCCCTCGGGTGCTCCCACAGACCTTCGTTGACGCACTTAGACGCACGCGTTTCACTTTCCAGTCCTTAAAATTATCCTCTTTCTCTCCTCTCCGGTCTCCACGTCCCTGTCAAAATCCCCTATTACGACTTTCTTTTCCCCATTCGTATCCAAGCGACCTTTCGGCCGCTCTAGGCCGCTGCTACGCCTGACGCGCGAGGCCTGTAAGGCTATACGGGGTGCATACCAGTACACTTGTGGATGCGAATGGGTCAAGAAGCTCTTTCTTGGAATAGTCTGAAAGCGATAGATTTGTTTGCGTGTTCCCTTTTTCCAAAAATAGTACATCATTTTGAGGTATAGTGAGCAGTGCGAAAACGACTACCTTCTACAAGCCATCAATCATCATCATCATCATCCATATCTAATATATAAACGTATAGACGATCGTGAGCGACTGACTGACGCTAATCCTAACCATGTTCAAGAGAAGTTAGAAATCTGAAGCTTGGTACACAAGTACATATTGGGATGTAGAGTTCAGGAAAAAAATCCGACTTTGGAGGTAAATGCCCTGGGGGCACAAATTCCATATTTTCAAATAATTTTTTGCTTCATTTTCTGCTGAAACTTTGCATGAATGTGACTACTGAGACAAGGAATTCAGGAAAAATGTCAAGTTTCGATACATCCCCTGGGGATATATATTTTTTGAGGATGGCCTTTTAAAATAATTTTTTTGTCTTACCGAATCGGGCAGATATGGAGAGGTGAAACTTGGCACACACGTAACAGAAGTGATGTTGAGTTCAGAAGGAAACTTCACTTCGTAATGCATCCCCTCAGGGCACGGCTTTTGGCTGGGTCGGCTCTGCCAAATATATTTTTGCACCAGCAGAAGGGCAAACGGATAAGACTGAAACTTGGTAGGCACGTAGTTCTTAGAGTACTGATTTCAGTACAAAAAAATACATCTAAAAAATATAAAAATAAAAAATTCAGGTGAAACCCTGATGCAAATTTTTTTTTTTTGCAAAACGCGCATTTTCCCGAATCTCTTTTGATCCAACGATAAAAGAGAACTGAAGAAAGTTGAAACTTGGAGCAGAAGTTCCTGTTCGATTGCTGAGTGCTGTTCCTACTTTCAACATTTGTCCCCTCAGAGCAGATTATAAAGGGATTTTAAGCTAGGTGCACAATAAATTATTGGAGTAATTATTCCGATGAAAATATCGGTTCCTTCTCTCATGGCGCACTTTTAGACAGGCACACTCTTTTAGTACGTTTTTGCCCCTTCGAAAATAAATAAATGAATGAATGACTATCCTGGACAACGGAGCGCCGAAGGCGCGACTTCAGCGAGTTTGTTAGAACGAGTATATAATATGCTTGGGCCTCTGTGTGTACGTCCACGTGTGCGGCACCTTCTGCCTGCCTCCGGGTGTCTGTCTCGCTCTCTCGAGCTCGCACTTTCTTCCCGGCTGTAGCGGCTGTTGGATCCATTCTCGAGAATGGGAGAGAGAGGGAATTTTAAGCCTTGTGCAACCCCCCACCCCCCCTCCCGCCTACTTAGGGGATGTTAGAACCTCCATACGGATTCTCCCGCCAGGGACGTGTAAAACGTTCTCGCTTATAAGACTTAAAGTCCCCTTTCATCCCGCTGGAGGAAGAATGACATCCACGCTGGGATAAGATCTCTGCCCCTATATTTATCAGAACCCCGTCCTCGTATTGATCTGCACTCTCGCATGGAAATTGACTCTCGAGAAACTGAAAGACTCCCGAGGGTGAAAGCGGCGGGATTCCATCTGGATGAGATAGAACAGGAGCGCTTACCCTTGGATCGGAAAGACGACGTCGGCCGCGTAGTAAACATCCCGTTTCTCTGGCGTATTTTTCACTCATAGGCCTACATGAAAAGTGGTGGAGAGGGACTTTACAAACGATACGGAATAAGAGTGCCGCTCGATAGAAGTCCGTATCGTAAGCATGAACAAACCCGTGGGTAAGAGAAGAGGGGGGGGGGGGGGGATGCGCAAGACGCACCGAGCGGCTGCTGCGTAGAGCGTTCATCCGAGCGCTGACTGAACTCGTGAATACCCGAAAATGCTACATGCTTTGCCTAGGCCGACCCGGCGTTCGGGGATGTCCTCCACGGGTTGGGGTCTCCGTCTCGCTCGAGAGCGAGCAGTTTCTTTCGAGCCTTCGCAGCTGTCGGATCCGTCATCGAGAACGGGAGAGAGCGGCTGCCGCGTAGAGTGTTCGAGGGGCCGCTGACTGAACTCGTGGAATCACGACAGTGTTTCACGCTTAGCCGAGGCCAGAGATGTCAATCTCGATTAAGTTGGGGGCCGGATGGAACCCTTCAGGAGCAGTTGAGTCTACAATAGCAAATCTTTCACCAAAGTTTAAATTGCAAACAGGTTGAAAAAGTGAACGCTTTCTCGAAACTTACTGTCGAAGATGACTTTGCGAGCCGAAGAACAAAAATTGTTTGACACCCCTGGCCTAGGCCGAAGTTCGTAGAAGTTTCCCACGGGTTGGCTAGTTG